TTTAAAGATGAGAGAGACAGAGAGAGAGAGAGAGAGAGAAACAGAGCATGAGCAGGGGGAGGGGGCAGAGGGAGAGCGAGAAGCAGATTCCCCACTGAGCAGAGAGCCCAACGTGGGGCTCGATCCCAGGACCCTGAGATCATAACCTGAGCTGAAGGCAGCCACTTAACCAACTGAACCACCGAGGTGCCCCCATGACCTTTTCCATTTCTAAATATTATTTAGGTCTCTTTGGCTAAATAAATCTTGGCAGAGGTATACCTATAGTTATCTTTTACAGAGGGCCAGCTTTTGGCTTTGTTGATTCTTTTTTAAAATATCATTTATTTCTGCTTTCATTATTACCCTTTCTTTGGACTTCTTTGGTCATTCTTTTAACTTCTTGAGTTGAAACTTCTCATTAAATTTAAATCTTTTTCTTCTTCTAAAAGAAGCATTTATGAAAACTCCCTTATCATACTTTTAGCTGCATCCCACACATTTTGATATGTATTTTCAATTTTATTCAGTTTTAAGTGTGTTTAAATTTCCATCTTGATGTCTTCTGTGACCTATTAATTACTAAGTGGTATATTATTAAATTACCAAACATATGGGTTATCTTTTGGTTGCTGGTTCCTGATTTAATTGTATTTCTGTCAGAGGATGCTCTGCATAATACCAAGCACTGTTATATATTTTAGACTTCTGTTTTTAGTCTAGCATATGGATCAGATTTTATAAATGTTTCATGCATGCTTGTAGAGAATGCATGCATATTTTCTGGATGTTAGGAGTAAGATACCATGTCTCATCAGGCATGCTGTGTTGTTTAAATCTGATCCTTACTACTTTTCCTGTATGCCTGATTGAGAGGTGAAATTAATTACCCACTATAATTGTGGATCTGTCAATTTTCCTCAGCAACTGTCAATTCATATTTTGTATATTGAGGCCATATTAATACGTAAAATTGAAAACTGTATCTTCCTTGTGAATTGGTGACATTTTTTTAAAAAAAATATTTATTTATTTGACAGAGGGATAGAGAGCACAAGCTGGGGGAGCAGCAGGCAGAGGGCGAGGGAGAAGCAGCCTTCCTGCTGAGCAAGGAGCACAACATGGGGCTCTATCCCAGGTCCCTGGGATCATGACCTGAGCCGAAGGCAGACGCTTAACCACTGAGCCACCCAGGCGCCCCAGACATTCTTGATTTCTATTTTAATTGCTATATCAGATCTCTTTTGGTATTTGTCTATTATTTCTTTCCTGTTTTCTTATTTTCAAAATTTCCCATAGTTATCCTAAAACAGAATATACTTGGATTTTAATTGTAGCATTTGGTCCATTTATTATTTTTGCCCAGAAATATCTTACTTTTGCCCACATTCTAAAATGATAGTTGAGTACTGAATTTTAGATTGGCAGTTATTTTTTTTCTTAGCACTTTGAAGACATTACTACTCTATTGTCTTCTAGCTTCTATTTTGCTATTAATGATTCTCATAGCTCTCTTTTTTCTCTAGGTGTTTTAAAGATTTTCTCATTGTCTGTCGTGGCCAATGTAGCGAGGTGTCAATATAAACTTTTTTCTTGCTTTGGGAATCACTTCGTGTCAATGTTTTTTGTCAGCCTGAACATTTTCTTGCTAAACTGCCACTACCCCTCCCTGACCCCCGGAGCTACATTCTGAGTAATTTTCTCAGATCTATCCTTTAATAACTATACCTTTTATTTGAGGAAGTTCTACTTGGTTATTTTTAAAGTGTACCCAGTCATTCTTTCTTTCCCGTCTTTTTGATTCTTTCGTAAGATAATTAAAACACTTCTTAGGCATCTAAGAAACTTCTTGCTGTTATGTTTGCTAATTCACTCATGATGGGTTGTTTGCTTATGTTTTCTAATTTTGGATTGTGAGCTTACCTTCAGCAGTGTTTTACTGATGGCAATCCTATCGCCTCTCTGGTTATTCTGAAGATTTATTTATTTGTGATAGGGAGCGACAGAGCACAAGCAGGGGGAGCGGCAGAGGGAGAGCGAGAAGCAGGCTCCCCCACTGAGCTATGAGCCCGATTCAGGACTCGATCCCAGGACCCTGGGATCATGACCTGAGCTGAAGGCAGACGCTTAACCAACTGAGCCACCCAGGTATCCCTCTGTGGTTATTCTGTATTGATTTTTGCCAGATGTCTAAAAAGATTTTTGAGGCCAGGACCATTTTGTAAACTTTTAGACTAAGTGGTTCCTGGATTGGGCATGGAATGTAAATTACATACATCCCAAACTCTAATAAGAACAGGTTTCTAGGTAAAAGTTTAGGGGAGACTCCAGCCTTATCCTAAGACTGAGCCCAGAAAGATAAGCTTCTTCATTGTCAACCTGTGTTAGTGGAAGAGGTTTCTAATCTACCATTTCATATTGATTATATTTCCCTTTACGGGTTCCAGTTTTATGTGAGGGATCTCACAAAGGTCACACAAACCCCAGGCCTTTTCTGTCTCACTGTGGTTAGTAACACCAAGCTCCCGACAGGTCTACCGGTGAGCAGTTGGAGGGTACTGAAATCAGCAAGAGGCATTTATACCATCACAATTTCAGTTTTCAGTTTATTGCTCTGGTTTATAGTTCTCTCTCTTCATTTCTAGTCCATAAGAATTACCTTCTTTTTTTTTTTTTTTTAGAAATCTTACCTATACTTTTAAAAGGGTATCTGTTATATATTACCCAATGTTTCCAGGTGTTTTGTAACAGTCAGGTTTTCACATTATCTAATCTATCTTATTACCATAATTCTAAATTTGATTTTCATAATTCTTTAATGGTTTGTTCTCTTATCCTCACTTTCTCTTTTCACATATATCCACATTAAATATAATTTTCACTGTGAATATTCCTAGAAGTATAAATTAAAAGCAAAAGTAGTCAGCAACCAATCTCAATCTGTCAGAGTTATTTAAAAACATCCTTCCCTGCAGTACTTTCCAATAAAAGCTTTACATCATTAGCGGAGGACGGCATGGAAAGAACACAGAAGCAAGACTCGCTCTATTTGTGTTTTGGTTTTGACACTGCCATGACCAACTCTGAGAACTCTGACAAGACACTTCAACCTCTTGTGGTCTATTTTTCCTCCTCAGAGTTTTTTATGAATCGATAATCATATGGATCAATACTTGCACCCTCGATTTAGGAATACACAGATTTTAACAATCTAAATATTTCTGTGATATTCCTGAAACTATGTTGCAGTTACTTAACTATAACAATGCTGAGATCTTAGATGGCCAAACCTGACTGAAATAAAGTTGCAATATCAGTTTATATAATAGCAAGTATCTGCATCAATCAAAACAATACATTCTGCTAATCAATTATGTTCTTCTCTAAAGTGACTCAAAAATGATAATACCTTGGCTTTTGGAGTAGCCTTAATTGTCCATATGCAATCAACTGCTTGGCCAGGTTTTGTTTTTTCTTCTTGTTCTACCTGACTAGAACGCACTATTCCATCAGCTCCCGAGAGCTCAAACTGGCAATCTAGAAAGAATAGATGAATGATGTTCAAAGGAAAATAAGACTGATCAAAATGCTATGAGGAAAAAGAGGTGATATACTAAACCTGGGATGGGATTTAAAATACCTCCTAGGTAAGTAAAGTCTGGATCTGTAATAGAAAAAAGAAGAAAGTAATTGGCATTGAGATAGTTTAGAGTTATGTTAAGGTTTCATGTCTTAAGTTATGTCTAATCCTTCATTTAATAGCAAAGGAAGAGAAAGCTTTCATTGGTGTAGACTACAGAGCACTGTTTTTTTTTTCTCCCCCGGGCATGTTTAGGTGCTTATTTATAGGAACAATGTTTTTTAAAACGGTAATGTTTATACTACTGATCCCATCATGAATAACTTATTTATGCCACCTGAAAACTTGAAACCCTGGCAATAGCAATAGCTAGTCCATTAATGGATGGATGAATAAACATAACGTAGTATGCACAATACAGTGGAATATTATTCAGCCTAACAAAGAAATAAAATTCTGATATATGCTACACAACATGGATAAACCCCGAAACATTACACTAAGTGAAATAAACCAGACACTAAAGGACAAATACTAACATTGTATGATTCCATTTATTGAGGTTCCTAGATTAGTCAAATTCATACAGACAGTAGGTATCAGAAGCTGGAGGAAAGGGGGAATGGGCAGTTCGTATTTAATGGACACAGGGTTTCAGCTTGTGTTAACAAAAAAGTTCTAGAAATGGATGGTGGTGACGATTACACAACATTGTAAATGTACTTAACATGCACTCGTACACTTAAAAAGGATTAAAATGATGAATTTTATGTTATTTGTAATTCACCACACACACACACACACACACACACACACACACACACACACACAAAGTAGTAGCTAGTAAGTGGTGTTTTCAAAGTGGCAGGGAAAAAATGACCAGGTGATATACAGGATATTCTGTCCGGTGAAGTAGTTCATAGAAGACCAAGAACTAATAGTTCATATCAAAATAACTGATTTCAGTAAATTGGTCAGGTATTTGATTTTTTTTTTTTTTCAGGTATTTGATTTTTATGAACTAAATCAATTAACTGAAATAATGATACTTTAGTGTCAAAAAGATGTTAAAGACCCTTATATATGAATCAGATCTTTGTAAACTAGTTTGACTATCTGAAAGAAAAAAAGACATCAAAAACAATGCTCTTAATTGAATACTTTTTTTAAGTATTAAAAATCAGGCTTTTTAATACATAAAGATTCTTACTTGAAGAAAAGTAGCTCTTTTTCTATTAGTTTATGTATCATGAGAGCAACTTTATACAGATTATGGTTAAAATATAGACAGATTATAATAAAACACTTATGATTTTTAGACTATATTAACTTACATTTGCATTTTATAGTACTTCAGAGTTTCTACATACATTATGCTTAGTATCATGCTAATTAGAGCAATATCAGGAAAACTATGTAATATTCCGCCTTGAAGATGAGGAAACTGAATGAGAGAGATTATGATTTTCTTAGGCCATATTTACAATGGCAAAGCCAGGACCAGACTGCAATTCTCCAGACAATTTTTCTTACCCTACCATATTGCCCTTATAATGTGGGTGAGGATTCCACAGTTTTACCACTAAAAAAAGAAAATCAAAATAAATAGGTAATGCATAATTGGCTAATTATGGCTGTGTCTAGTTATTTCAAGTCATACTTAGAAATTTTGTCTAGGGATCAGTAAATCTAGAAGAAGACTACTACTAATAATGAGAAGATAGTATATTTTAAAGATTTTAGTTATTTATTTATTTTAGAGAGAGAGAGTGAGTGCACACATGTGTGCCTGAGGCAGGCAGGTGGAGAGAACAGAGGGAGAGAGAACCTGAAGCCGACTCCATGCTGAGCATGGAGACCCATGTGGGGCTGGATCTCATGACCTGAGCAGGAATCAAAGAGTCGGACACTTAACACTTAACTGACTGAGCCACCCAGGAGCCCCAAGAAATTAGTATATTTTAAATTAAATTCTCTAAATTTCTGGTGCTATCTGTTGAGAATAGAGGACTCTTAATGGATTGCTACTTCCTGGAAGTAACTGCGACAATTCTGGAAATTTTAATGCAATGACAACATTCTAGAACTATAGTCTACACACGAAGGAATTCTGATTCATTGGCAGGTAGCTCCTATGACTTTACTCCACTGCTGTTTAATTAAATATGTCTTTGACATTTCTCTACAAAAGAGCTGAAATGTTGTCCCCTTTCGGCAAGGTTGGATTTAGTTTATTAAGTTAAAAGAGGCAAGTCTCTGTGATGTATTCTTAATTAAGCTAAAAAATTCCCCCCTACTTTTTTTAATATGATAACTATGCAGAAAGTATTTGGAATTAAAAACAATTTTAACAAGAATTGAACATCCAGTTAAATACAATAAATTGTGTATTGAAATAGGTTTTGCAGGCTATTTAAAGATTCTGAGATATTTTAAATTAGCAATTTTTTCATTCTGGCAATTTGGTGTATATAGGTCCTATTTGAACTTTCAAATTAAGTTTTTTGGTAACTCTAATTTTTAAAAATTTATTTTTATTGTAGTAAAAAATATATATGACATATATATATACAACCACTATCCACTTAAGCAAAAATTAAAAACAAATTTTACTATGATTCAGCAATTGTGCTCCTTGGTATTTATGCAAATGAGTGAAAAAGTTGTCCACGAAAAAACCTGCATATGGATGGTTATAGCAAGTTTATCTGTAATTGCTAAAACTTGGGAGCAACCAAGATACCCTTCAATAGAATGGATATACTATTGTACATACAACGAAATATTATTCAATATTAAAAAGAAATGAGCTGTCAAACCATGAAAAAACACAGAGGAAACTTAAGTACATATTACTATGTCAAAGAAGCCCGTCTGGAAAGGCTACATATTGCATGATTTCAACAATATGACGTTCTGGAAAGGGCAAAACTACAGAGATAGCAAGATCTTGCTTGCCAAGAGTTAGGGATGAAGAGGCAGAGTCCAGAGGATTTTTAGGGTAGTGGAAATACTTGATATGATATTGTAATGGTGGACAAGTCATCCCACATTTGTCCAAACACACAGAACACACAACACCAACATTGAACCCTATGTAAACTATGGATTTTGGGGGATGATGTGTCAGTGTGGGTTCATCAACTGTAACAAATGTACCAAATGATTTTGGAAGGCAGCTGTGTTAGTGCAGGGCTGGAGATATATGGTAACTCTGTACTTTCTGCTAAGTTTTGCTGGGAACCTAAAACTCTTCTAAAAAATAAAGTCTATTAGATAAACTTTACTTTCTGAAATGTTATCCTTTTGGCATTGAGAACATAAATACTGAAACAACACTTAAAAATTCCCATGTTTGTTAAAAAAAAAAAAAGAAGAAAAAAAAATTCCCATGTTTACTGACAAGAAAAAAAAGTTGATTATGTTGTTCAGGCAAAAAAGCAGGTAATATAGATGTATACCATCAGTTATGTAAAACAAAATCAAAAGATACAGAAAAACATCTGAAGGGATACACACCAAATTGTTAACAGTGGTTTTTTATATATAGGATGGTAAGATGATGGATATTTTCTTTTCATTTGGATTTTTTTTAATTAATAAATTTCTTACATGAAAACAAATAAAAGCAAAGAAATGACATAATTGGTACACTAAGTTATTTTTTCATCTTGTTAGTCTACAAGTTGTTTGACGACAGGAGCAATAACATTAGGGATATGCACTCTCCGGTTTTACAAGAGAGAGTATTGCAGGTCTCAAAGTGTTCACAGATACAGGGCAGGGTAAGACAGAGTGGGCTGAATGGAGACCCTAATCCAAATCTCAGAACCTGTATTACTTTATGTGGTTTAAAAAAAAAAAAGAGTGACAATTACATTACAAAACAAAAGATGGGATTAGTTAAGGATTCTGAGAGGGGAATGTGAAGACGGAGGCAGGGACTGGAGTGATGTGGCCACAAATCCAGGAATTCTGGGGAAGCCCCCAGGAGTTAGAAGAGGTGAGCAATGGATTCTCCCCTAGAGTTCCCAGAAGAAATGTGGCCCTGCTGGGTTTTCTGCCCTCCAGAACTCCGAGAGAATAAATTTCTATTGTTTTCAGCTGCTAAATTTTTGGTTCATTAAGGCAGCCTTAGGAAAGTAATACATCAGGTATTCCCATTTTACCAATAGCAACCCTCAGGTGCAATTGTGATGAATAGTCTTATAGCTATCAGGTAACAGAGAACGGATTCGAACCCAGATCTTTTGCCTCCAAGTGCAGAGCAGTACTTTTTCTATTGCTCAATATTTTCTATAGCTTACTTATTCAAATGAGTGGTAATTCAAGCATTCCAATGGAAAAAACCTGCCAAAATAATTTTTGGTAAGGATTATGAAAATAAGACAATTTGCTGAATTATCTTTTAAAATATATTTATCTTGATGTTTTTAAGCCCTGCTATACATTACAAAACATAAAGAAATCTAAGAAAAATGGGATGCCATCTATGAAATGCTTCAAAATTCAAGTGATACCGTTCTATTTCCAATTTTTGGTTTTATTTATTCACGAAGTGATTTCCCTTTGGCCTTGCTAATTTCTTTAAAACCTTGATTTGATTAATTTGACTAAATTCTCTTTTCTAGACATAAGATTCTAAAACCAGAGTGAGATCCAGTGAAAAAAAGACAACTTCATTACCTGGAATAAATGAATATTTTGCTCGAAATCCCAGTCCTTCAAGTTCTTCATCAGAACTAAACTTAATCCACATGAATCTCCCTGTTGATCTAATGAGTGGAGGGCTTTTCACACCACAGTAACGATCTATAAGTGGAGAGAAACCAAATGGCCCATCTCGAACCTCCAAGTGGTCAAACCGACATTCAAATGATGGTTCTATATAATAATGTTCATCAAAGGTCAGCTCTATTCTTTGACGTGGAGCAGCTAGAAAATAAAAGCAAGTAAATGAGGGCAACACAAAGAAAAGCATAAATGTCCTGACACAAGTAGGGAAAGTAAAACAACTGCTCTGTTACTGTTTCACAGATGAGAATCATGAGGACTATTACATATAAACTTCAGAATTAATGTTATATTATATATCAATAATAACAATGTTGCTCTGCAGAACTACAGTGATCTTTCCCTTTGGAATATGCTGTTTATTAAATTAGTTAAATGTACTTAATTAATTAAAATTAGACTAGAAAAGCTAATGCTTAGTTCATGAGATACAATGAATAGAAAAACAGAAGAAATGACAAGAACTAATGTAACTATGGACATAAATCTGCATAAAGCATGATAAGAGATGCCATAGTTTGAGTTTGTTTGTTTCTTTCAAGTTTCTTATTAGAGAAATTTCTCATCTATACTGACGCATCTGGTTGAATTATATTTTAGGAGATTCAAAATTCCTAGAAAATTTCAACTATTATTTTGTTAATGTGTTCAATATTCAGTATAATTACTAGAGTTTAATTCAAATACATGTTTAAATTTTGTTCAAACTGGCTTAAACTGGGCATCTTACCAATGTACTTAGTTTTATAATAAAGTTAAAATTCATCCATTAAAAGACAGAAATTGGTCAAATACCTTCCAAAATGTAGATACACTCCTTGTTTGGTGGATAGGAGTCAGGATAATTTGGTGAAGCAAAATGACCTCCATTGCTGGTTCGAACCCAAATGCCACACTGGGTTGCAGGAATATGCTTGATTCCAACATTTTGTCCATCTTAGGGAAAAATGGCATTTAAAACATGAATTACAGCAGAAGAGAACAGCATTCTTCTCTTTTCCCCATAATTTAGCCAAACAATTGCCCACTCTAGGTCACACAGATAGTGTATATAATTTTGCAAGAACCACGGCCAAGTTTAGTGCAACAAACTGAATACAGCAGAAGTGAGAGAAAGGTAAAATTGTATGCTGTGCTGGTGGGAAGAACTTGCTGCTAGAGGACAAGTTTGCCCTGTAGGCGAGCAGGGAAATAAAATGCTTAGATTTTACAAGGGCAAAACCATGTGGGAGAATCTGATAAGTCAGTGCAACTCTATAAAATTCAGTTCTGACATAAAAATAAAAGGATCCCAGGGGTTTATCTCTGGTATGGTACCTCTATATTTAGTTTAACACAAAAGCCAAATATGATCCAAAGATTACAAAGGATTTTAGTTAAAGACTGTAGATTGAACACATGCATTTAGTTCTCTCTCCTTAAACTCCACCAACAGTTCTGGATTTTTTAAGGGCAAAAATAAACCCCTAAAGAGGCACAAAGAGGTAGATGCAATCACAACAACTAGCAGTACTTGGTGAGCAGGAGAGGGCATGACAGGTGGTGGTGAAATTGTCCTTTCTAAAAACATGAGGCCTGGGTAAGAGTTATTTAGAATCAATCTGATTTCTTTCTTTTTTTTTTTTTAAAGATTTTATTTATTTATTTGAGAGAGAGAGAGAGAGCACATGAGAGGGGGGGAGGGTCAGAGGGAGAAGCAGACTCCCTGCTGAGCAGGGAGCCCGATGTGGGACTCGATCCCGGGACTCCAGGATCATGACCTGAGCCGAA